GCACCACAGCCGCGACCGCGCGCACGACGCGACGAGCGACGAGCGACGAGCGACGACGACGACAACGACGACGACGCGAGCAGCATGTAGGTGGCGAACTGCCCCACTGCGCCTGTGTACACCACAACACTCGCATGCACCACAGCGCACGTGTACACCACAGCGCCTGCGTACACCGCAACAGCCGTGTGCAACGCACCGCCTGTGTACACCACAACGCTTGGGAACAATACAGCGCCTGTGTACACCACAATGCTTGCGTGCACCGCAGCGCCTGTGCACGCGACAACGCCTGTCTACACCACAGCATCCGCGTGCAACGCAGCGCTGGTGTACACCAGTGCCTGCGTGAATGGGACAGGTAGAAGGGGCATGTACGTGAAGATCTGCTGCGGACAACTGAGTGCCACGCCGGGAAAGTTCTGATAATCGAATGCGAATGTTTTCCCTCCCCCCCGCCTCGTCAAACTCCTCCTCCTCCTCCTCCTTAACCCCTGTCGTGCGGCTTGGCGCTACAGCGAACGTGCGCATCTCAGCGTGCACCGCAGAATGGTCGATAAAATCGGTCCACTTGGTTCTCGGACGGCCAATTTAGCTGGAGCCTCCCGGACGCAAATGGGAGGAGTTAGGGTGATGCGGGCGGAGTCGGGGGGACTCGTAGATTCCAGCGGCGTTCCTGCATTTCTTTTCCATTGTTTCCTCTTGAATCCACAAGCGCTCCACCCCGTCACGAGGGTTCCTTCAAACATTCTATACACAACATTGGTGCTGTGTTGCACACGGCTGATGTGGTGCACACAAGCGCCGTGGCGTACACAGGCACCGCAATGCACGCCGGCAGTGTGGTGTACACTGGTGCTGTGTTGCACACGGCTGATGTGGTGTACGCAGGCGCTGTGGTGTACACAGGAGCTGTTGTGCCCGCAGGCACGGTGGCACAAACTGACGCTGTGTTGCACACGGCTGTTGTGGTGTACATAGGCGGTGTCGTGTACACAAGCGCTGTGGTACACGCGGGCACTGTGATGTACACAGGCGTCGTGGTGCAAATCGCAACCTACATGCTAGAGCTGCCCGTCCTCCGACATTCCAAAGCATTCCAAGACGCCGCCGGCGCGAAACGTGACGTCATCGACCCCCTCCCCCCCCAGATGATTGCCATCATCGGCCCGGACTAAAAAACAGGCTCCAGCCGCGTCCGCGCGCACGACGACGATGAGCGACGAGCGATGAGCCACGAGCGACGACGACGACGACGATGCCGACGACGACGACGACCACGACGACGACGACGACGACGACGACGACCACTACGACGACGACGACGACGACGACGACGACGACGACGACGACGACGACGACGACGACGACGACGACTGCGGACCAGACACCTATGTAGAATCCTACGCGGACACATACGCGGATCCCCAATGCGCACGGCGGCAGTGCCTGGGCCGCACTGGGGGGGGAGCGTTACGTGATAGGGGGGGGGGAGCGGAAGCCATGACGCCCGCCATGCCCAAAGCAATAAAGAAACGGGTTCTTGTCCTCCTCTAGCAGCGCCAGGTTTACCGCCGCGCACCCTGCATACGGACACTTCTGCTTGCCATGGCGGCAGGCGACGCAGAGGAGAAGCTGAAGGCGCCCACTGCGGCCATCAGCACGAAGGTGAGCAAACAGCCGCTCCGCGAGGCGAGTGGCTGCTCAAGGAGGCTGTGGTGGCGGCTGCGGTTGCCTGCGTGGGTTCTCCGCAGGCGGCTGCCAAGCGGGAGGACTGCGCGACGTGCTCCGTCACCGATGGCTATGAGGACATGCTCATCGACGGCCATGAGAACATGCTCATCACGCACGGCCAGGGCAGCAGAAAGGCTGCGGGAGAGGACATCCGACGCTGACTGGTACACGCGGGTGAGCGCGAATTGGCCAGCGAGTGGGTCAAGTTCCGCAGCGGCCACCGTGAGTGCGCCCACCTGCACCACGAGCTGATGCGCAAGATCCACGACGCTCTTAAGGCCGGTGCTACCAGCGTGGCATTTGACATTGGCATGTCGGAGAGCAAGCGCCTCGATGGTTTCGACAACCTGCTGAACAGGACGGGCGTCGCCGACTTCTTCATCGGTGACTCGACGGATCTGGAGGGTGCGTGAAAGCTCCGAAGATCTTCTTGCTTCTCCGCAGGCGCCGGAGGAAGAGGAGCTCTCCAGATCTGACGCTGAGGAGGCGGTCGACGGCTGGGAACCCACGGGCGAGTCCTCTGGGGAGCACTCAGCCGCCCCGCTTGTGGTGTCGGCTGAGGCGCTCACGGAGGCGACGGACTCCGACCAGCTGGAACGCACCATGATGGGCCGATTCTCCACCACCACTACCAGATGCAGGATGAGGGAGGAGGAGGAGGAGGGGGAGGAGGAGGAGGACGAGGAGGAGGAGGAAGAGGAGGAGGAGGAAGAGGAGGAGGAGGCCCTCCCCATCCTCCCTTCCCCCCCGCCGTACTACCTGTGGTAGCGGTGGTGGAACATTGGCCCATCACGCCCTCAAAGAGGAGAGCGTCGAGCCCTCCCTCGAGGAGACGGAGGGCCGCATCCAGGAGCTCATGGAGGTCTGTGGAGGCCTCGCCCGGGAGCGGCTGGAAGTCAGGGCGGCGGACTGGGTGCTCCGCTGTGCCGAGCCGCCCGCCGTCTGGGCCACGGAGGAGGATGCTGCTGCCACCCGGGCGCGAGTGCTCCGACGATGGGGCGTCTCCGGATCCTGGAGCTCCCGTCCATTCCCCCTCTCTCGGTAGAGTCGTTGGAGGGCGCTGGGCTGACCAGGCGTTCGGCCCCGAAGACGAGTTCGAGCTCGACGACGAGTACGTCGAGGAGCCCCAGAAGGTGCTGGAATCTGTGGTGGGGGAACGAACCCTATACACCGGCGCTTGTTTCCAGCCCTGCGCTGAAATTTGCGCAGGACAGCGGATCATGGTGTATACGGGATCCTGGTGTACACATTTTTCGGTGTCCGCCCAGGAAACGGAAAACGATGTACACATCACACCATCCTGACGTCGCCCCCGATCCTCAAAAAGTCCTGGAATCGAAAAACAGCACGCCATCTGTAATGAATATGTCCTTGTTTTCGAAGTGGAGGTGCCCACGGTAGAGTCTGTCGAAAGGGTTTCCCACGTGCCCAATAAAGAAAAGGAGCAAGAGGGAGGTGCCCACCGCGGAGAGGCTTGAGCAGATCGAGGCGGCGTCGACGGTGCAGCAGTCCATCCTCGAGGCGCCCTTTGAGGAGCAGTTCGATCCGAATTTGGATCGAACACGGCCCCTGGCGATCGCGAACAGGCCGACTGCAGCTCAACAGATCGTGGTTGTTTTCGGTGTGTGGAACAGCCTCGTGATCAGCCATTGCCCCTATCGACGACGATGCCGTTGGTGCTTTGACAGGTCTTGACGCTTTCAGGGCCATGAAACCCGTAGGGAAACCGGCGAGGGTGACAACCAAGATCCGCAATCCTGGCGGGTACATTGAGGCTGCGACTCGGCGCGAAGGCCTCGCGCCACCATGACTGTGAGTCTCTGTGGCAGGGCCCCCTTTTTGGACCGCGCGAGATGTCTTGCATCTCGCGCTGACCGCTTCAAATGTTGCAGTGCGCTACGTGCACGCTGGTGTCGGCTCCCAGGCCCTGCCCTGGTGAGCCCGATGGCTGGAGCTTCCTCCAGCGCAGCTGCACAGCGTTCTGTTCCCCCGCCCCAGCACGCTGTGCTTGGCAAAACGTTCCAAAACGATCCTCGTCATCCTCCTCCTCCTTCTCCTCATCCTCCTCCTCATCCTCCTTCCCCCTCCCCCTCCCTCTCCCCCTCCCCCTCTCCCTCCTCTTCCTCCTCCTCCTCCTCCTCAGAGGAGGAGGAGGAGGAGGAGGAGGAGGAGGAGGAGGAGGAAGACGTTGTGCAGGTTGTTGGCATGGAGGTGTCCTGAAGAATATCCTGAGGCCCTCTGGGGCTGTCTTGAGCGTCTCTTGAGGCGTCTTGAGCCACTCTGGAGCCGTCTGGGAGCTCTGGAGGCCGTCCTGGATTAACTCGCGGCCGTCCTGGGTCGCCTGGACGGCTATCTGACCCCTCCCAGGAGGAGTTTTGGCGTTCCCTGAGGGGCGTCTTGGTGCTTCTTGGGGCCTCTTGGGTGCTTCCTTGGGGCACCTTGGGGCACCGTGGGGGCCTCAGCAGCCCATGGGAGGCGAAAAGGCGAGACGGCACAAGTCATAGATTTCTCATTGGTGATTCTAATGTTTCTGGCTTGTCGGAAGTGTCCTGGAGTGCGGGCTGTCTTTAGCAACTCTTGAGGCGTCTGGAGCCTCTTTAGAGCCGTCTGGGACCCCCGGGAGCCGTCTTGGCAGTGGGGGACCTGCTGGTTCCTGGGCGGCTGCCAACTGCGCAGCTGTCTCCACTCTCTTCGGTTCCTGGGAGGCACGGCGGAGGTGAGGGCAGCGCAAATCCATGTGAGACCCCGCGGCTCCCGCGGGTACCGCGAACTCAGCAACTGCCGACACTCCCGTGGATTCCTGGGAGGCACGCCGCAGGTGAGGGCATCGCAGATCGTGCATCTCTGGCGACGTGCTCTTTTGGACGGAACGCTCGCTCAAAGCTTCGCCTCGCGTGGAGACTGGGCAGGGCACGTCTCGGACATCTTGTGCTCATGTCCTCACGCGGGTGGACACTGCCGGCGTGCCTGTGGCCGCGACGTGCGGCAACAAAAACACGAGTCACGGGCCAAGCACGAGCAGCCGAGACCACCTGGCTCAACGCGGGGACTAAATAGGGCAGGATCGGAAGCCGGGCAACGGCTGCTAAATCCGCGGCTGCTAAAATCGACCTCCGGGAAGGTGTCTTCGTCCTTCCGGGAAGAGGCCCGTTGACTGTTTCGCGTGCCGCGCCTCATTCCGGGGAGTTGTTTTTTCCTTCTGGGAGGGCCGTTTTAGCAGCCACGGTTTTCGCAGCCCTCGCCCAGCTTCCGAGAGGGCAGCAGGGGGGGAGAGAGAGAGAGAGAGAGGCCCGCGCTGCAAGCAGCGAGTCGCCAACAAGCACTGGCCAGTCGAAGCGATCAGGCCGAAGAGGCGAGACGAGACGAGGTCCAGCCTCCTCGCTAAAGACTCTGAAGGCGGGAAGCGCCGTCCCAAACGCGAGAACTCCGACAAAAGAGAGCTGCTGTTCGCTCCCCTCGAGCGGGGCACTGGCGAGGGAGAGGGAGAGGGAGAGAGAGAGAGAGATGGAGAGGAAGGCGAGAGAGACAGAGGGACCGATGTGGGCACCCTCTGCCCACGAGCAGGCAAAATTCTGGGGGCCCTACGTGCCCTACGCTCGGGCTGGGCCCTTCTGTGCTCAGGGAATCGCTTGGAAGCCAGGCAGGGCCCCGCCGCCCAGTTGGGCCTCCACCCGCAGGCCGCGGTGCAGGCAGGGCCGAGGTCCAACTGCGCTGCCGCCACCGGCGCCCCGCTCAGCAGCTGCCCTTGCCCGAGGACGCCCAGTACTCAGAGCACTCCCAGGGCGAGAACATCTTGGGAAGCTTCCAGTGCACGCTGCCCTGGAACCCCTCCACCTTGTGGCTGTCCCACTCGAGCCCGCGCCCCGCCTCGTTCTTGCAGACGTAGGCCTTCCCGCTCCACCCCTCGACGCCCGCGCTGTCGTACACCCCCTCGCAGGCTGGGTCGCAGAGGCAGCTGCTCTTCGCCTCCTCCACCGTGTCGAACGGCGACTCCATGACGGGAGAGTAGCAGTAGCTCCAGCCGTACTCGAGGTACTCGCACGGCTCCGGCGCTGGCGGCGGGATCCCGACCATCGTCGCCGGCTGGCTCGCCGGCGCTATCGGGGGCATCGGGAGCCTTGAGGCGGGGGTCGATGCCAACGGGGGTCAGCCAGAGCGTCCGATCTTGCAGAATCCTGCAGGGCCAGGGTCACAATGACCCGGGTTTGGGCGCAGGATCCTGCAAGATCCTTCGCGCTGACCCGGGCTTGGGTGCAAAATCTTGCAGAATTTTGCAAGATCCTGCAGGTCCTGACTGACCCGGGTCTGGGTTGACCCGGGTCAGAAGATCCCCGAGGGCAGCTCGGGCCTCGTCCGCCGGGTCTGAGGCGGCGGAGGCTGGGCGGCCTCTGGCCTCAGCTGCACCATGGCCGCCTCCTCCGCCTCGGCGCCCTGGCAGGTCGCCTCGGGCGCCCCGGCGAGGCCCGCGGTGGCCAGGGCCGCCGCGGCAAGGCAGCACCGCAGCACCTGCATGCCGAGGAAGCGCCAGAGGGGCGCTAGCGCGCCGGCGGTGTTCCGGCTGCTGCCGAGCAGGGCAGGCTTGGGAGCCAAAAACTTGAGGCAAAATGGCTGCGGAGGGGGGCGTCTTTGGGCTTCTTGGGGCCTCCAGGGCGCTTCTGGGGTGCGTCAGAGGGCCTCTTGGGGGCGAGCTTGAGTCATCAACAGCCCATGAGATGCGAAACGGCGAGAAAGCAAAAGCATAAATCACCGAAGGGTTTGTGAAGGTTTTTGGGATCTATCGGAGGTGTCCTGGAGAGTCTCCTGAGGCCTTCTGGGACTGTCGTGAACTTATCTTGGGGCGCCTGGAGCCTCTCTAGAGCCGTCTGAGGCCCCTGGAAGCCATATTGGGGTGACTCGGGGCCGTCCTGGGCCGCCTGGACGGCTGTCTGAGCCGCCTCGGGAGCGATTTCGGACCCCCCATTTGGGGCGTCTTGGGGCTTCTCGGAGCCTCTTGGGTGTTTTGTTCGGGCGTCTTGGGGCCTCTCGGGGGTGATCTTGAGGCCTCAGCAGCACATCGGAAGCGAGAATGCGAGAAAGCAATGGGCTTGTGCAGATGTTTGGCTTATCGGAGGTGTCCTGGAGTCTCCGGAGGCCCTCTGGGGCTGTCTCGAAATTCTTTTGAGGCACCTGGAGCCTCTCCGGAGCCGTCTGAGACTCGTTCCTGCAGGCCGTCTTGGGGGCGAACGACGGCTGGAGAGCTGAGGAAGCGGGCCTGGGGCCCCCGAGGAGCTCTCTGGGCCCCAGGAACCTCATTCATTGGCCGTAGAGGTCCTGGACCCCAAGCCCCCGGCCCGGTCCCCAGCTAAGCATACATAAAGACATATACATGATATATGTACACACGCACATACATCGATCGCTGTGCCTCTTCCATCGTGCCATGTGCGAATTGGCTCGTGTAAGCCTGTGCGTCAGCTGCCCGATGGGGTTCCTGTGAATTCCGAGGGGCGGCTATCGTTCATTTCGCTGCCCAAGGCCAAGACCGCAACAAGGGGCTACAACATGCCCCAAGGCCGCCAGCCCTGATCAGCCCCCCAAACAACCAGCCAGAGGATCCGAGATGCCCCCAAGGTGATCGCAGGGGACGACCTCACCTGACCTCATCTCCCTCGTCCTCTTCTTCTTCCTCCTCCTTCCCCCTCTACCTCCTCCCTCCGCCTCCTCCACCTCCGTCTGCTCCTCCTCATCCTCCGCCTCCTCCTCCTAATTCGCGTCCTGCTCCGCCTCCTGCTCCTCCTCCTCCTCCTCATTATCCTCCACCCCATTTTCTTCTAAATGACTCCTCCCTGTCGCACCACGAGACGTGTCCGTAGGGCAGGCCGGGCGTTTCGCCTGAGACTTCCCCACCACTTACAACCCTTAAGCTAAAACTGCAAAACGGTGTCACGGATGTCAGGTGTTTTTTCAAAATGAGGTTCTCGCCTAAGCGCCGCGCACGTTCGGCTCGAAAGTCACAACATCATGGATGGAGGGTGGTTCCTTTTCAAAATGTGGCGACACCCTCAGCCCCGCGCACATTCGTGTCCAAAGTTGCTGGAGGTGTTCAACAGTTTGGAGGAATATGATGGTTGACGGTGCTTTGGCATGATGTCAAACCGTCAGGGTGCAACGGTCACGTTGACTTGACTCGCGGCATCGAAGTCTCAGGAATGACGTTCTAATGCGACTCAGGATCGTCAGGACGCAGCAAGAACGTTGGGTCATGGCCTTGGAGTCCCAGGAATGGGGTCTGGTACGGTTTGGGATGTTCAAACGGTTGTCTTCCAACGAAGAACTCCCCTCAGTGAAGGTTAGTCTTTGCAGGGACCTGTGAAACTTAGGGGGAAGGCTGTGTTGCAATTTTGTTGATGCATACTGGGTTTACACTGGTCGTTCTCCTGCTCCCCCAACTACTCCTCCTCCTCCTTATCGTCCTCCTCCTGCTCATCCTCCACCTGTCTTCTTCTTCCCGCGGCCTGTCTCGGCGCGTTCGGATTCATCAAGTTGGCGTGCCTCCTGCTCATCCTCCTCTTCTCATCATCAGCACAATCAGCATCATCGTCATCAGCAACATCATCATAATCATAATCATGATCAGTATCGTCATCAACATCATCAAAGTCAGCATCAGCATCAGCATCAGCATCATCATCATCATCATCATGATCATGTTCTTCATCATCATCATCATCATCAGCATCATCATCATCATCATCATCATCATCATCATCATCATCATCATCCGGATCTTTCTGATCCTCATCAGCATCATCACCATCATCATCATCATCGTCATCATCATCATCATCGTCATCATCATCGTCAGCATCGTCATCATCATCAGCAGCGTCATCATTGTCAGCATCGTCATCATCATAATAATAGTCATCATCATTGTCTCAATCATCATCACCATCATCAGCATCATCATTGGCAAGCATCATCGTAATCAGCGTTGCCATCGTCGTCTTCCTTGCCAGCAGCAGCGGCGGTTTTCTAATCATCAGCATTACCATCGTCATCGTCATTGTCATCGGCAGCATCATCATTAGCATGATCGTCATCATCACACTCCCACATAATGCTCATACTCCTCCTCACCGTCAGCCCCATCACAATCATGATTGCTGAACACCGCCAGTATCATCAACACCATCATCATTGTAATACTGAGCATTCGCATCATCACCAACATCATCATCGTCACCATCGCCATCATCGCCATCATCGTCATCATAACCATTACCACCAGCAGCAACATCATCATCCTCATCATCAACAACATCATTGTCATCGTCACCGTCAGCCGCGTCGTCCTCATCAGCAACGTAACCCGCAGCATCGTCAATATCGCCATCGTCATCATAACCATCACCACCACCGTCAGAATCTCCATCACCAGCATCACCAGCACCATCACTATCACCATCATCATCAGCATCATCATCCCCATCATCATCACCACCACTATCTCCATCACCATCACCAGCATCAGCATCAGCATCAGCACCACCACCACCACCTCCAGCATCACAAAGCCACCGCCAGCATCGTCGTAATCATCATCATCACAACCACCACCACCACCACAATCATCATCATCATCATCACCACCACTGTCACAAGCATCATCAGCATCATCATAATCATCATCGTCAACATCATTATTAGTATTATCATCGTCGTGGCGCACTGCTGCGGGGTCCTCCTCCTCCTCCTCCTCCTCCTAGTCGTTCTCCTCCTTCTCCTCCACCTCCTCCTCCTCATCCCTCCCTTCGTCGCCTCTCTCCCTCCCTGCCTCCATCTGTCGCCTCCCTCTCTCTCCCTCCCTCCCTCCCTCGCTCGCATACCTCCCTCCCTCTCCTCCCTCCCTCCCTCTTTCTCTCTCTCCGTCTCCCGAAGAGCCATCGACGACGATGCGGTGACAACGGCGGCGATCGCGGCCAACGCGAGCTGGAAGCCGGGAGCGGAGGCCGGATGCCTGCGCCCATCATGGGGCCGAGGACGGCGGAGGCGGCGCCGAGCACCACCGCCTGGCGTTGGCGGCACTCACCGCGCCCCGCGGCAAGAGGGGGGGAAGGGTCAGGGGGGCGGCTCGTCTGAATTGCGTGCTGTCGGTGTCGGGCATCTGCGCGTCGTGAACTTGGGCTGGAAGGCTACATTGGATGTGGCGAATTCCCCTGGCATTTGCGAGAGTTTGCAAAGTTTGCGGAACACACAAAGCAAATACACAACGTAATTACACAACGCGGAGCGACGTAAAACACAGCGTAAATGCACGACGTGATTGAAAACACAACGTCAACACACAGCGTAAATACTTAACGTAATAACTCTACGCATTGGCGCCATGTGTAGCGCGCTGCGTGTATGCGCGGGTGGTGTGTGTGTGTGTGTGTGTGTGTTCTGTGTATTTACGCTGTTCGTATGCGTGGTGTTGCGTAGCGCTGCGTATTCAAGCGCCGTGCTGTGTATTCACGCTGTGCGTATGCGCGGGTGCTGCGCGCGGGTAGCGTAGCGCTGTGTATTTATGTTGTGTATTTACGCTGTGTATTTACGCTGTGTATTCACGCTGTGTATTTACTCTGTGTATTTATGCTGTGTAATTACGCTGTGTATTTACACTCTGTATTTACGATGTGTACACGCGTTGTGTCGCGCATTTACGTTGAGCGTGCGCGTGGTGTTGCGCAGTGCTGCGTATTTAAGCGTTGTGCTGTATTCGCGCTGTGTGTATGCGCGGGTCTTGTGTGTGAGGCGTGGCGTTGCGTAGATACGTCGTGTTTACGCGTGGTGTTGTGTATTCACGTTGTGTATATGCGTGGTGTTGTGTATCTACGTTGTGTATATGCACGGATTTGTGTATTTACGTTAGGTATATGCGTGGTGTTGCGTATTTGCGTTGCGTATATGCGTGGTGTTGTGTTTTTACGTTGCGTGTATGCGTGGCGTGGTGTATGTACGCTGTGTATACGCGTGGTGTTGTGTGCTTACGTTGTGTATATGTGTGGTGCTGTGTAATTGCGTTGTGTATATGCGCGCTGTTGTGTATTTGCGTTGTGCATATGCGTGGTGTTGTGTATGTACGTTGCGTATATGCGTGGTGTCGTGTATTTACGTTGCGTGTATGCGTGGCGTTGCATATGTACGTCGTGTTTACGCGTGGTGTTGTGTGTTTACGTTGCGTATATGCGTGGTGTGGTGTGTCTGCGTTGTGTATATGCGTGGTGTTGTGTAATTACGTGGTGTATATGAGCGGTGTTGTGTATTTACGTTGCGTATATGCGTGGTGTCGTGTATTAACCTTGCGTATACCCGTGGTGTTGTGTATTTACGTCGCGTGTATGCGTAGCGTCACAACGTCGTGTTTGCGCGTGGTGCTGTGCTTACGTTGTGTATACGCGTGGCGTCGCATATGTACGTCGTGTTTGCGCGTGTCGTTGTGCGTTTACGTTGTGTATATGTGTGGTGCTGTGTATTTGCGTTGCGTATATGCGTGGTGTTGTGTGTTTACGTTGTGTTTACGTATGGTGTTGTGTATTTACGTTGTGTATACGCGTGGTGTTGTGAAACTAACGTTGTGTATATGAGC